TCCCGATGCCTCTCTCCTGCCTCCTGGTAGGAGAGAGGCATCGCCTGCCCTCTCTGAGCCCTCTCCAGCTCCCGATGCCTCTCTCCTGCCTCCTGGTAGGAGAGAGGCATCGTCTGCCCTCTCTGAGCCCTCTCCAGCTCCCGATGCCTCTCTCCTGCCTCCTGGTAGGAGAGAACCATCGGGAGCTGGAGAGGGCTCAGAGAGGGCAGACGATGCCTCTCTCCTACCAGGAGGCAGGAGAGAGGCATCGTCTGCCCTCTCTGAGCCCTCTCCAGCTCTCGATGGTTCTCTCCTGCCTCCTGGTAGGAGAGAACCATCGTCTGCCCTCTCTGAGCCCTCTCCAGCTCTCGATGCCTCTCTCCTGCCTCCTGGTAGGAGAGAGGCATCGTCTGCCCTCTCTGAGCCCTCTCCAGCTCTCGATGCCTCTCTCCTGCCTCCTGGTAGGAGAGAGGCATCGTCTGCCCTCTCTGAGCCCTCTCCAGCTCTCGATGGTTCTCTCCTGCCTCCTGGTAGGAGAGAACCATCGTCTGCCCTCTCTGAGCCCTCTCCAGCTCCTGATGCCTCTCTCCTGCCTCCTGGTAGGAGAGAACCATCGTCTGCCCTCTCTGAGCCCTCTCCAGCTCCCGATGCCTCTCTCCTGCCTCCTGGTAGGAGAGAACCATCGTCTGCCCTCTCTGAGCCCTCTCCAGCTCCCGATGCCTCTCTCCTGCCTCCTGGTCGGAGATACAGGAGTTTTAAAACACCTGCAGACTGAGTTTAGAGTGGAAAGGTTTAAAAAAAAAAAGACTTTAAATCAATTGGATTTAAAGTCTATTCAATTATGGACAGGTTAGATCTACTACAATCTGTTGTGCGCTAATAAAGACATTGTCGGGGAAACATTGATGTAGAAAAAGAAACAAAAACCTCACAGTATTTCAGGGTGCTTTCAGAAACTTGTTATTAATAATTTATAAATGTTATCTTTGGTTTAAAAACGAATTCAATTCCATATTTAAAATGTGAAAAAGGCTCCACATATCTTTGAAGGATGGTAAAGAGTGTTTCAGAAGAGACTTGAAACTAATAGATTCTGTATTCAGTGGGATGATAATCTGCAGTCTGCCTATAAAGTCAGTGTGCGTGGATACAATGCTGTGCACAGAAATATACTACACATCCAGTGTGAAATGGAGAAGCACTTGTGGAATGAAATACTTCCATAAGCTGACCTGTCTTTGGTTTTTAACACATTAGAAAGTAGTGATATCAGAAGCTTAATCACAAATAGTGAGTATATTTTCTGAGGTATTATAATTAAATAAGACACAAAAGGCACAGGGATCTTTGTTGCTAAAGTTACTAACATTACACAGCTGATGCCATTTGAACTGACAGGTTGTCATTGAACACTTTGTTTTCTCTTCCTGAATGATTCCACTTCATAACAAGAGATAAAGGAGGAGCACGACATCGGCTGATTGATTATCCATCAGTGTTATCCCCGTGGGAGTCCACCTCCTCGCTGGCGTTCGATTCAGGGCTTTGCAGCGCCTACGACTCATCTCTCCTCCACCTCCAAACACTGACAGCAGCTCACAGATCAGCCTGAGCTGCTTCAATACTCAGCGCATGGAGACACGTGCGCATTCAAAGAGCACTGCCTTTTACAAACCACAGCATGCAAATATGAAGATCTGCATTCACACAAAGAGATAAGAGGTCTTTGAGCAGCTGCAAAAGCACTGAGAGACAGTCACAAAAAGAGCCTGAGAGTTATGCAGGGCCAACAGTAAGTCGGTTTTTAGGAATATATATATAAATATACACATACTCATAGTTTGTGTATGGATGAGGGCATTCATGTTGTGACTTTTTTAAACACTATCGTAGCAACGATGGACTCCTCTCCACAGAGTGCGGTCCAGACACGTGTAATTACAGGCCAGACGAACAGAGGGGACGTGGAGTCTCCCAAACACACACAGAGAGAAAGAAGGGTCCTCAGAGGTTAGATTACTAATACTCAATTTACTGATGCATCTATTTTAGCAACATACTTTACTAACAGATGCAAAATGATGAGAAGAAGGGAAAGTTAGGTGTGTGCTGTTTGTCTTATTGTGTGGGGGCGTCTTCTATTTCTCATTATCTAACACCAACTGAAGGCTTTAGGAATACACTCTATGGACATGCTCCATATCAACAGCCATTGGACCAGAGGGGGAGAAGTACTCAGATCCTGTACTTGAGTACAAGTAGAAGTACTCAGATCCTGTACTTGAGTACAAGTAGAAGTACTCAGATCTAGTACTTGAGTCAAAGTAGAAGTACTCAGATCTAGTACTTGAGTAAAAGTAGAAGTACTCAGATCTTGTACTTGAGTAAAAGTAGAAGTACTCAGGTCTTGTACTTGAGTAAAAGTAGAAGTACTCAGATCTAGGCTACTTGAGTAAAAGTAGAAATACTCAGATATTGTACTTGAGTAAAAGTACAAGTACTCAGATCTTGTTCTTGAGTAAAAGTAGAAGTACTCAGATCTAGGCTACTTGAGTAAAAGTAGAAATACTCAGATATTGTACTTGAGTAAAAGTAGAAGTACTCAGATCTTGCACTTGAGTAAAAGTAGAAGTACTCAGATATTGTACTTAAGTAAAAGTAGAAGTACTCAGATCTTGTACTTGAGTAAAAGTAGAAGTACTCAGATCTTGTACTTGAGTAAAAGTAGAAGTACTCAGATCTTGTTCTTGAGTAAAAGTAGAAGTACTCAGATCTTGTTCTTGAGTAAAAGTATAAGTACTCAGATCTTGTACTTGAGTAAAAGTAGAAGTACCAGAGTGTAGGAATACTCTGTTACAGTAAAAGTCCTGCATTCAAAATGTTCCTCAAGTGAAAGTAGAAAAGTATTCTCATCAAAATATAGTGAAAGTAGCGACAGTAAAAGTAGTCGTTGTGCAGATTGGTCCATTTCAGAATAATATATATGATATGTTTTATAATGATTGATCATGAAAGTGTTCTCAAAGCTGGTAAAGGTGCAGCTAGTTTGAATGACTTTGTATACTGCAGGGTAGCTGGTGGATTTACTCCAGGTGGAACTAAAGTCTGATTCAACACTTGATTATATTTCACATCATTCAAAATTGTGTTGAAGTTAAAACCCGTCGCAGTTTAAGCTGTGCTCGGTCCTACTTTCAGAATCAGACTGTTTTGTACAAATAATGATAAAAACACAATCTCCCTCTTACTTCCATCATATACTCACGCAGTACATCGAGTAGCCCGCATACATACAAATGTACATTTATGAAAATACACAAAAACTGTAATAACCCTCCATGAGGAAGTAAAAAAAGAAGAATCATAGAAAAATATATACAATAAAAATCTAAAAGACTGTCATCGTGTCATATCATTATTACTGGCTGCTGTTCCTGAGACGACTCAACTTCTGCTCAAACTAACTGAGCAATATGTAAGTTCACCTTTAACACTATCGTCTGGCTGCTGTCTCATATCTGTGAGGGCAGAGGTTCAGTCTGTAGGGGATTGGACTTCGGACCGAAGGGTCCCCGGTTCACGTCCCGATCGGACCAAAACATACGGAGTGTTGACTGGTACTGGAGAGGAGCCAGTTCACCTCCTGGGCCACTGCCGAAGTGCCCTTGAGCAAGGCACCTAACCCCCAACTGCTCACTGGCGCCGGCTAGACTGGCTGCCTCCGCTCTGACCTCTCAACTGCATATGTGCATATAACTGTGTGTGTATTTGTATATGTGCATGATGTAATAACTGTGTACTGTGTGTACTGTATAAAACTGCGTGTACGACAGAGTGGAAACTGAATTTCCCCCTCGGGGGATAAATAAAGGTCCATCTTCTTCTTCTTACTGGATGTGTATTTTTTAAGTGTAGATCTTCTACTTCTTCTTTAATCTTTAATATTTGATGCATGCTTCCTAATGATTTGCTGTGATGATGTGAACGTCCCCTCTGTGGGATGAATGAAGGTCTTCTGATTCTGATCTGCAGTAATAATACAAATGCATATATTATCAAATGATAAATGCACGGACTATTCCGGCATACTGTGAGCTGTGTGTAGGGAGTGTTTGTTGATGGGTTGAAATCCCCTTCAGTCGACCTGTAGTTTATAACTCGTCAGGAGCATCGACATTTATCATTCATTATAAATCACATGTGTGTTTATGAGTTTGTTTATGAAGCATTATAATCGCCCTCAGAATGCACTATAGCAAAATGTAATTAACTAAATTATTTTGTATTCACTTTTCTTCTTTGCTCCCTTGTATGTCCTCTTTGTCGCTCTCTTTCCTTGTTTCCTCTCCTCTGAATATGTTAACCTCTTTGTGTTCTTAACTTCCTCTCTTCTGCATTTCAACATTATTCCACCGTTTGTTGTTTGTGTGACCCCTCCAAACAAATGCATGTCCACTTGTTGTGAGTATCACTCAGTGGTGGACATTGATGGTGTAATGAGTCTGAATGTGCACAGAGACAGTTTCCTCACGCCTTATCAAAGCTTTAACGTCCAGTACAGAAAGTACCTCATGTAGGCATATTAAGTACGTGTCATAATACCGTGAGCTGTAAGCAGGAGCAGAATAAGTGATCATCAGATACAAGTTCAGTTCGAGGACGGTCCATGTGGATATGCCCGTGAACACAATGGAGTCTGTGAGAGATTACGATGAGACAGTAATATTGAAATGGACCTTTGGAGTCATTACAATAGCAGCCGGAGTGTGCTAACGTTTCCTTTTATTTATTTACGATGTGCAAACACACCGTGAGGCAAATTCATCGGATAACAACTAGATGTGTCCGAATGTGAAGTCCTCTGTTTTACTGAGTTGGCAAACAGACATAATCTGATGGAACATATTTTATGTCAATGGACAGTTAAATATGGAAATACTCAAACGACTGAAGAGAGGGAACGCAGCAGAGCCAAGGATCACACATTTTACACACGTAGACATAAAGATGAAAGAACTTACCAGAACAATCCAATAAGTCTTCAGTGTTTCTGATCAGAGTCCAGTTTACATTTAATTCTCCTCAATCTGACTTGTAGCAACACTGACGTGTTACAGAGCTCTGTCTGTGAGCACAGAGCTGAGAGAGCAGCCTCCACCCCCAACACACACACACACACACCACACACACACACACACACACACACACACACACACACACACACACACACACACACACACACACACACACACACACACCAGAGTTCCCGTTAGCCGGTAATTACCGGACTACGACCGGTAAAATATGCTGAAGACCGGCAAATCTAAATCTCTCCGGTCAAAGTGTCCGTTCAAAATAATTTCCGTTTAGCGCAATAACGCATCAGTTGCGCAATTTGCGCCACTTATGTGACAGACAAGAAGAGTATGTGACAGACAAGAATAGTCAATTCTAATGTTTAACACTTAATGTGGAGAAAGAGATGTCCTGGATGGGTATTGATTGTGCGTTGATCTGTTGGTAATGCCTCGGGGTTCCGGTGGGCATGTAAACAAATGCATAATGCTGCGCTATACTTTGCGGCCTCACCCAGTTGCATAGCGATACTTATTGTGTAGGTGTCTTTTAATAAGCAGGTAGTCCTATCATTAGCTAGAACTAGCTGGATCTGATCGATATGGACATAAACGCAAATCTAATCTGACTGGAGAGAGAGAGATCAGCTGCTGCTGACGAGTCGACACGCAGCTCTGCATGATCACATGCAGCGGTGAGCGGACAAAACACACACTTCAGGTTAGAATATCACACGTAGCTATTTTAATGACCTCTCAAACTACCTAAACTAGTTATAGATATGTTTAGTTTTACTGTCGGGTCACTCATTACTGATCCGCGAGTTGCATGATACTGACGGGCTGTCAGGAGAGGGAGAGAGCTCCGTTTATTATTCCCGTGTTATTGTAAATTACTGAACACTTTTGAATAATGTAGTTAATCTACTATAATTAGTTTGTTTAATATCGAATAATATCAATTTGTTTTAAAGCACAATAAATAACAAATAAGTCCTTTGACCGGCACTTTTCTAATTTTGTCCGGAAGATTTCAACTTTAACGGACATGTTGACCGGCGAAAAAATATTCTAACGGGAACTCTGACACACACGCACGCACACACACGCATATACACACACACACACACACACACACACACACACACACACACACACACACACACACACACACACACACACACACACACACAAACACACCTTGTTGTAAATTCACAGAGCTGAGATCCAGACACAGTCACAGGGGGATTGAGGACCACCCTTTCTTGGCTTGCTGAACCCTCTCCTACACACACTATACTATATTTCTTTGGAGAAAAAAAAAAGTCGAGCCCCCCCAACACAAGTCAGGCTCAGTGGCGGCGCCAGAGATCTCTTTTTGGGGGTGCTGTGGGGTAGCTTGACGTTTCATGGGTGCTCAAACATTTAGGGTTTCCCTTTAATGTCCCGGCGCTACAGTGGAATGTTCTACTGCAACACTCCCCACGCATATACACAGTGTTCCTGCAACTGTTACAATGAAGGCTCGATAATCAGCTCACGGCTCAGGGGGTCAAGTGCTATTTTTATAGGTGGTGTGTGGACCTCCTCTCGGGGGGTCCGGGGGCAAGCTCCCCCGGGAAGATTTATTTTTAAACATTGAAGTTTAAAGCATCAATCTGGTGCACTTTGAGAGCAACATTAGAGATCTATGGATACATCTCTCAACACCCATTTGAAACAGAACTGTAAACAGATTTACTTTTTCTTTATGGATATTTTACAAATCACCCTTTTAAACTTTATTCTTGTTTTACTGTCATATAGTATTTCAGAGCTGTTTTTCATTTATTCTCTTATTTTTTTATAACTATAATGATCATATAAACGTGTGCCTCGGAAATAATTGTTTACATTAATGGTGACCAAAACGTTTGAGACCCACTGAGATAACACTGAGAGAGTAATTTAGCTCACTGAGCCTCTCAGTCTGACAGGAGAGGACTCTCCTCCACTTTGTTGTTGAAAAAACTTCTTATATCCGTTAGCGTAGCTCGCTAGCACCAGAAGCTAACAACAACGATCTCCGGTACCGGTGCGCTCTCTCTCTCGCTCGCGCACACAAAATGGCTCGTTCCACACACACACACACACACAGAGCCGAGCTTTAATGAAACACAGAGACCCAGACGTAATAGTATTGTACTGCATCATATTATTTTCGAATCAATAATTTTTCAAATTATGATTTTTTTTTTTTTTATCTTTAAAAAAAAAAAAAATGTATAAACATTTTTCCTCCTGGTCTCTCGCGCCCCCCCCTGGCTTGCCTCTGCGCCCCCCCAGTGAGAACCACTGCACTATACACACAACTGCACTCCCACTACCACTCCAACTCCATTATTACATTACACACTGATCCACTCATCCATGATGAAGAGCGAGGTCCTGAAGTGTTCTGCCTTGTGTCCTGACAACAACCTGTCCCTCAACTAAAGAACCCATCATCGACTACAGGAAACAGAGCAGAACCCCCCCCCACCCCCCTTATGTTTAAATGCATTTAAAGCAGTATGTTGTACCTTACTCGTGAAACTATCAAGTCAGAACTCTGTCCAGATGCATTTCTCTGCTAAAACATGTATTGTAAGCAGAGCGTTGATGTTTAAAGCCCCAACAGACTGGAACACTTCACCTGCTGCTGTCAGACCCCCGTCATCATTGGGTCTGTTTCAGCATCATCTCACTTTCAGCTGCTCTTGTTATTGATGGAACTGATCCATTAGACACTACATTGTAATGATTGTATGTATTACTTCATGAATGTTACTCAACAGACTCTACGTGGTTTGTCATGCTTTGCTTTCTGTTATATCTCTCACAGGCTCCGCCCTCTACTGGACTCTATGGGTACTATCTTACCCCGCAAGCATTCTCCCACTGAGACTTCTATAGACGTAGCCGGCCCTGGGCGGGCCTACCTGAATGCGCGTGCATCACACCGTATAAAAGGAGGCCTCGCCTCCTGACTATCATCCTTTTCTCTTCAGCAAGCGGAAGTGTTTTCACGGAGCTTAGAAAGACAAAAAATTAAGAGTAATGGAGTCAGTTCTTGACCAGAGGACCTGCCCGAAGTGTCCAAACCTGATCGCGGGAGCGGATCCACACCCCTGCTGCTTTTTGTGTATGGGGCCTAACCACGCTGTGAGCGGTATGGGCCCGACGCCGGCATGCTCAGCCTGCCAGATGCTTCCTCGGCTCACGCGTGAGCATCGTGGGCAGCATTTCCTGTCAGCAGAGGCTCCGCAGGAGGAGGTGGAGGATTCGGATCTCGACGTCGTCGAGATGGGCGAGTCAGGAGAGGAGGAAGTGCCGTTCCGATTCTCCCTTCCGTGGGGCCAGACAACCCCGATTCCGGAGGAGGAGGAGGAGGACGCCTCGGTGTCGGGAGGTCCGACTCTCAGGTCTGCACGTTTGGATTTCCCAGCGGTGATGACCCTGGCAGCGGAGCGCGTAGGCCTACCGCTCCCACCACCGCTTCCACCGAGGCCTATAAGCCGCCTGAGACAGGGGTTTTACGGCCCGGTGCATCCAGCGCAACCGACCTTCGTTTCGCCCCAGCTGCCTGATATATGGCGGTGTGTGTGGAGGCGACATGGCAGCAGCCATTCAAGACTAAGGCCCCAGTAGCCGCTATGGCAGGCATCATCAAGGTGGAGGGCCACTCGGACACAGCGTGTGCGGGGGTGCCCCCCCTTGATGAGAGCCTGGCGGCCCATCTGCTTCCGCGGGCGGCTGGTTGGGCGGAGGGTAAGCGACCCCTGCCCCCGCTGCCCCGGGACCGAGACACTCTGGAATATCTGGACAAGATGTTCAAGCTCAGTACGCAGATGGCGGCTGCAGCAAATAATCTCGGCGTGTTGGGCGTCTCCCTGATCACCCCTCAGGCAGCCGCCCCCGCCCTCCTGTCGCAAGATGGGAGCGATTATCCGGACCGCGCTATAGGTCAGATGAATAATCTGATTCATGGCATGGCCGCTGCAGCAGGGCGGGTGATTTCCTTCCACAGTGGCGTCTCGTCACGTGTGGTTGGGACTCACTGCCCTATCTAGAAAAGACCGAGAAGATCTCCTCGGAGCCCCCGTGTCCACGGAGGGGCTCTTTGGGTCAATCTCCTCGGTCACTCAGCGCTTCAGCCGGCTGGAGGAGGAAAGTGTCCAGTTTAGCAGGAAGCTACCGCTGGCCCCGCCTCCGGCCCCGCTACGCGCTCTTCCACGCGTTTCCATGCAGGCGAGGGAGCGCAGTGCGACAGTGAAGCGGAGGGAGAGGCGCCGGCACGGGGGTCCCGTAGCTGCGGCGCCCTCTACCTCTACGGCCCATCACGTGGTACCGGCATATCGGCAGCCACGGAGAAGGGCTGCCCGACCTCGGCAGGCTCTTCAGCAGCAGAGATCGGCCGGGTGGGGGGCGCCGTCTGCCCGAAGCTGACTGGCGGGGGGAGGTAGCGTCTCGGCGGGGGGAGGAAATCTCTTCGCCCGGGACGCGAGGGTGAATCCCACCTCCTCCCTATTCGATGCACAGATTCCTTTGAAACATTTTTAAAATAAAGAAAAAGTTGATCTGTATCCAAGTCTAAGTGTCCTTTGTTTCCACAATGCTACACTTACACATGATGTCTGTACAGATTCCCCACTCGCCGCCCCAGCCATAGCTCCTGTAACGGAGCCTACACACGGCGGCGTGCGTTGCCGCTTGGCGGTGGGCGTGTCTTGAGCTTGGGGAGTCAACCCGAGCAACGCGACCAACAACCAATCACATGAATGTCCCGCCCCGGACATACAAAGCAAAGCATTCATGCTACATCCATGCTGGCTAAATATACTGTCTATGCTTGCTAGCTGTCCATTCAAACGAAGTACACTGGCTATAAACTCCCCAAACAGGCGAAAACCTACCAGTTTCACCCACTGTCTCTGCCACCTCCCCCCATGCCTGGCTCCTCCGGTTTGTATCCCTGTATGTAAAGAGGGACTGGTCATATAGTACCGGGTGATTCCCTACCGCCACGATAATTTTCTCCTCCATTTTTTGACATATGGGAAATAACTGCGGTCTGGCTCTCCCAACATACACGCGGTTTGATTGGCTAGCGCTTGTGCTGTCAGATTTGCATACGCGGGATTTGATTGGCTGACGCCTCCGTCGAGGCGGCAAAAGTAGAACATTGCTCTACTTTTGCAGCGAGCACCGCGAGAGAAGCTACGCTTTGCTCCCGCAATGCAGTTCGGCGAATCGTGACGTCACCCCATTCAAAGTGAATGGGCAGAAGCGTTGAAGCGGCAACGCACGCCGCTGTGTGTAGGGGCCGTAACGGGAGGAGGCTAGTGGGAGTGCGCAGATGAGAGTGATGAAACGTAAACAAAGCTATCGTAATGCTATACGGGTACAGAGGCATTATGGCCGGCATATTGCTGTTGGGGAACACACTAAGCCTGGGGTTAAGACTCCAATTAATGCAGGTTACCAGAGTTGCATTATGGCAGCGCCCGCACTCACAGAAGAGCGCGTGGCGGTGCGTTCAGGGACCTTAGTAGAACGCACTACTCCTATGAGGACTCCGATTAATGATGTTCACCGGTGAAAACGGCATTATGAGGGAGCGCGCGCTCACACATGAGCGTGCGGCGGTGCGTTCAGGGTCCTCAGTAAATAATCGGCCCTTTCTGTGTCGACCCTCCATGGGCGAATCTTCCCTTCACGGGGAGTTTTGCGGCGGGACGGGTCGCCAGAGAGTACCACAGCTTTATAGCTGCGGCCCCACAGCTGAGGGCATGCCCTTTAACACAGTGTTATGGGGAATGGAAACTCAGCTGTGTACTATCAAAGTGGATGGACAGGACGCTGAAACGGGGCTATTCACTCCAGTTCTGCAGCGTCCCACCCCCTTTTATGGGCATGCGAGAGGTGAAGCTATCCTCTCGAGAGGGGGCCTTGTTGACCACAGCGGAGGAACTGTGGTTATGGGCTTCAGAGGTGGTGTTATCTCTGAGAGCCCTCCATATCCCGGGACTGGAGAACGGGGGAGCCGACCTCATGTCGAGGGGCGGCCCCCAGGTGAGTGGGTGCTTCACCCGAAGGTGGTGAAGCAGATCTGGGCCCAGTTCGGGAGAGCGGAAGTGGATCTGTTCGCCAGCCGGCGAAACAGCCACTGTGCCCTGTGGTTCTCCGTGGCTCGGAGCGACGACCCACCCTTGGGGGTGGACGCGTTTGCACACCAGCCATGGCCAAGGAAGCTGCTCTACGCCTTTCCACCGCTGCGTCTCATTCTCCCCCTCCTGAGGAGAGTGAGGCGAGAACGTCTGTCAGTCATCCTAGTGGCTCCGGACCGCGTTGGGGCGCCGTGGTACTCAGAGATGACACAGATGAAGGTGGGCCAGCCCTGGGCGGTTCCCCAGTTCTGGGGGGCGATGTCTCAAGAGGCAGGTGCAATCGGGGCGTTACCCACTCTCGGCCGTCCTCTCCAGGTTTGGCTCCTGAGAGGGACAGGCTGAGACAGGGTGGATTGTCTGACAGCGTTATTCAGTCTATCCAGGCAGCTAGAGCTGGATCCACCACAGCCTGTTACAGGTCAAAGTGGCTAGGATTCCAGCGATGGTGTGAGGAGCGGGGAATAGAGCCCCTATCTTGTGAGTTAGGCTCTATTTTATCCTTCTTACAGTTATTGGTGGACAGAGGGCTTGCGCATTCAACAGTGAAGGTGTATGCAGCAGCCATCTCGTCCTGCCATGAGGGATTTGGCGGCAGGTCAGCCTTTAGTCAACCACTGATGTCGCGGTTTTTAAAGGGGGTCAGGAGGCTGCGCCCAGTAGTGCACGCCTACAGTGGGACCTGCCCCTAGTGCTCGAGGCTCTGGCCTCGGGCCATTTGAGCCTCTGGAGCTCTCCTCTCTGAAAGCATTGTCGTGGAAAACAGCTTTGCTTCTTGCCTTAACGTCAGCCAAAAGGGTGTCCGAGTTAACTGCTCTGTCGGTGCACCCGAGCTGTTTACTGATTCGGGGTGACCGGAGCGGCGCGACACTCAGACCGAACCCCTCCTTTGGGCCCAAAAAAGGAGTACGTTCAGGTCGAGGGCTATTCAGTTAGGGGGGGTTTAGTCTTCCCCCCCATGGGGGGGGCCAGGGAGACTGCACCTCCTCTGCCCGGTGCGTGCGCTAGCATATTATTTGGAGCGCACGGCTGCCCTTAGATGCACCGAACAGCTGTTCGTGTGAGTGGGGGGCGGTGTGATCGGGAAAGCTCTGTCCAAGAAACGCCTGGCAGGCTGGCTCTGCGAGTGCATTGCACATGCCTACGGACAGGCAGGGAGAGCCTGCCCCACGGGGGTTCGTGCGCACTCCACACGGGCTGTGGCTGCGTCAACAGCCTTATTCAACAGTGTGAGTGGAGGATATATGCACAGCGGCGTCTTGGTCGACGCCAGGCCCCTTCATAAGGTTTTATCTCTTGGACATGTCGGGCTCTTTCTCCTCGTCTGTGCTGGCGGGGGCAACACAGGAGTGGTAGGGGGGAGGGGGGTTGTGGGTCAGTTGGCATCTGACCTCCTCCCCGGACGTAATGCGCCTTCGCTGTTCTCGGGCCCTCTGAGGGTCCCGGGAGGGGTGAGGGGTGCACTGGGCCCTTACAGGGCTGGAGGGCTGCTCTCCTCCTGCCGAGAGCAGGAAGGGGGGATTCCTCCACACTTTAGTCCACACACTCGGCACGGGGTCAGTGTTTGAGTGTGGGGCAGGGGCTCTGGCGCTCTCCCTGTTATCCTTAGGGATTCAGGGAGGCAGGCGTGTAGTAAGCCCTTTCGGGGCCGAGGGGGCTCTCCCCATCCAGGGTGGGGGGGTCCCCCGGCACTGTTTTTTTAGCACACTTTTTGCGAGGTAAGCGCAGCAGGGTGTGCTCTGTCAGCCACAGCCCAGATTTCTCCTCGGTTACAACCGGGTTAAAGGAGAAGGTGGGGCAGCAGCTGCTGACCATAATAGCCGGTCAGGGGCAGTAGGGTGGAATATTGTTGGACGACAGTGCGCGTATACATCGCGGCTCCACCCACTGTACCCATAGAGTCCAGTAGAGGGCGGAGCCTGTGAGAGATATAACGTCGGGTTACGTAGTGTAACTCTTGTTATATTAGCACAGGCGGAGCCCTCTACTCGGGGCACTGTCTGTCCTATTCCGCTCGCTGAAGAGAGGTGTAGGATGATAGTCAGGAGGCGAGGCCTCCTTTTATACGGTGTGATGCGCGCGCATTCAGGTAGGCCCGCCCAAGGCCGGCTACGTCTATAGAAGTCTCAGTGGGAGAATGCTTGCGGGGTAAGATAGTACCCATAGTGTCCAGTAGAGGGCTCCGCCTGTGCTAATATAACAAGGGTTACACTACATAACCCGACGTTATGTTGTTCATGTCTGTGAGACGTTGCTGTTGTCGGGACCCCTTGAAAACGAGATGGTGCATCTGTTCTCTGTTCTTGTCTTTTTTATTACTGCAGATTTGTATTCATATTTTATTCCTTTTTTCATTCCGTTTCATTGCAAAGTAAATACTGCTATATTTTACTATATTTGTATTGTATTTTTAATATTTGTTCTCGTTCCCTACCTGTGTTTTAATTCATCTTTTATTTGTATGTCCGCACCATGACGTCAAGTCAAATTCCTCGTATGTGTGAACCTACCTGGTGATAAACCTGATTCTGATTCTCAGGGGTTTATCCTAATAAATAAATGTGTGTATAGACAGAGTGGAGAGGGTCTCCATCTTCAAGTTCTTGGGGGTCCGTATCTCCGAGAGCCTCAGCTGGACAGCACACAGCACTGCAGCAGTGAAGGAGCTGCTGCTGGTGTCCTTCTCCCGGACCACCATCCAGAGCGGGCTGACATGCTGCATCTCGGTGTGGTATGCTGGCTGTTTGGGTTATGGTGGAGAGAACCATCGTCTGCCCTCTCTGAGCCCTCTCCAGCTCCCGATGCCTCTCTCCTGCCTCCTGGTAGGAGATACAGGAGTTTTAAAACACCTGCAGACTGGAAACAGTTTTTACCCCTGAGCCCCCAGGCTGTTCAACATGCAGTCCCAAGGGCAACATCATTATAATGAACCAACTCATTAGCACTTTAAACACTTCCTTAATGCACTTTATAGCTTTCTATAGCTTCTCTCTTTAATGATGTATTACCCCCTCATATGATTGTCTGTGTGTTTTCTATTGTTGTTTGTTTTCGTATGTGACAGGGTTTCACAACAAAATCTCATTTTATATTTTTGTATAATCACAATAAAGACTTTCTATTCTCTACTTCAAATAAAGGAATAGCAGAAATAGTGCTTTGGTTTTCAAAAAACACAATGAACCAGTGATACTCAGCCTTAACTTTACTTCGCTTCACATGTCAATGGTTATTATTCCCTTTGTCTGAAGGAAGGAACTGATCTCTGAGTGAGTGCAGACACCTACTGTACAGATCTACAGTAACATGTTCACTTCTTTGCTTCAAATGGAGTTCCTTCCAGACAAAACCTCAACTTAAGCCCAACTCTTACTAATATGTTCTTAAACGTTATTAATAAGTATCTACTTGAAGACACAATGAAGTCAGTTCTTGTATTTTCTTGTTCATGTTCCACCCATAGGGCAGGAGCACCTGATAAGGGATCAGAAACGTGCAAATGGGCCCCTCTGTGCAGCCAATGGGGTTGTGTGGATAAAGCTTCCTGAGGTGATTGGTGGCTGGAAGGCCAACAGGACAGTGAAGAGGTTAGAAAGCTCCACTGTGGCACCAGGAGGGCAGACGCTGGCAGAGATGGCAGCCATGATGACAGGTCTTCTCCTTTTGCTGTTGGCCGGTGAGTTTCAGCTCCTACTCAGACTTCTGCTGCTCCTTTCACCGTTCCTATGCTCTGAGATAGCACTCTAGTTGAGTTAAGTATTTAGAACTGAATTTCAAACTGTCTAGGAAGCCAGTGTGTTGTTGTCTCTTCTTCTGAAACCCATCAGGATCCTGGAAGCTGAATTCCAGATCAGATTGGAATGGCTGTTTTCCAGAGAAGCCAGTTAAGGTTTAGCTAGGTGGCATAATGCAACTCAGAGCTAAGGCATTGAGCTCTCTCTTACCCTCATGTCAGTTCATGTAGCTGATGCTTTCATCAAACGTGACTTATAGTAAGTGCAACCAAACATTAAAGCAAGAATCATGTAGGTACATCAGCTTTCAATGAGCCACAGTGTTCCAAACAGGAGTCAGATTTAGTTTGTACTCATTGGCCAAAGAACGGTTGAAACAGGACGGTCTTTGTTGAGAGTCTTTTGGGTCCAACTCAATATTAGAGAGGAATCCATGCAATCAAGAAGAACCCTACTTTTTGTTGTAGGAGGAAACCTGCTGTGTTTAACACTGAAGATGCTCTTAGTCCATTCACTGTAGGAAGAGCATTTAGTGTGTGTTGTGAAGGATCAGCTGTTCTCTCTTCTCTGTCAGCTGTTCTGTTCTCTAATACTTTCAGTGTGAATCTTCTCCTGCCTGAATCTGCTTCATGGTTTTCTCTTTCTTTGCTTCATGTGTTCTGTCTTTAATTCAGCAGGTGAACCCATATGTTCATAAACTAGTGTGTGTGAGCTTAACTGTGTGTCATTGTTGGTGTATAGCTACTGAGTATGCTGAAGGAAAGCATGGTTTTCCTGTACAATCAATCATTTCTGATCCTAAATATCTCGGCTCCTTCTTTTCTAAGGTCACATTCTTCTGTTGTCTTACATAAAACACTTCAGTAAAACACATCGTATTGATATTTATGTTCTCTTCTTTTCATTTGAACTGCTTTTGATATTGAGGTTTTCTAAAAGTAACAGAAAGTAATCAGGTTACATTACTTTTATATTTTGATACTCAGATCAAGTTACCTTTACTTGTAACTGACCCTCCATCCCTCTCTACAGCAACCACTGTGTTTACCTGTCAGGCTGCTGGTGGTGGGTTTCTCTTTCAGGTGTGACAGTGGGCAGAGTGCTGGATCTGCAGAAGAGAATATACGGAGGTGACACATGTGCTGCTACTGAACGTCTGTACCATGTGGAGCTGATACCAAATGATGGGGGTCCGACCTCCATGTGTGGTGGATCTCTGATCAACGAGGATTGGATTCTGACTGCAGGTCACTGTGTAGAGGAAGGGATGTGAGAAAGATTTACTTAAAATACGTAGATACATTAAATCTGAAAAATAATGATTTGAAACAAACATTTAAATAACATCAAATATCATGTCTTCATGTTGAATAACCTAAACCATTACACTCTGATGCATTGCAGTCATTTATTGATGTCACTCTTTACACTTTCATTATTCACAGTGTAACAAAAGTGATAGCAGTTCTAGGTGTGCATCCAGATGGCAAAGGAGAAGCTGTTAATATCAATATCAAAGAAATTGAAAGATATAAAGACGTCAAAGGGACCCATGACATCGCACTGCTGAAGTTACCTAAGGATGCTGCGAAGGGTTTTAAAACTGTAAATCTTCCTGACTGTAAGAAACCTCTCAAAAAGTGAGTTGTGATCTTAAATAAGCCGGAGAGTGAATCTCCTAAGGAACTCAAACTGAGATAAACCCCTGACATCTTTTTATGAATGTTAAGTCTTTTTCTTGTATTTCAGAGGTGATAAAGTTCAGATTGCAGGTCACGGACCCACAGCGAGACCCAAAAATGGTGAGATGGATCTTGTTTGTTTTTTTACAATAAATACTGCACACACTGAAAGTTATACGTTTGTTGACATTTCTTAAAACTTTGCATTATCATATTTTAACATATTTATGAAACATTGAGTATTTACAACCAACATAAGAAACAAAAATACAACATTGCGGTTAATTAAAGCGAGGCAATCCTCATGACACACATTTTTAAATAATTATCATCCGATAAAACAGACCAGTCTCTGCCAGTCTTTTTTTTTTTTTTTTTAATCCGATGACGTTATCAGTGATTTTAAGCTGATTAATTACCGAAATAACATCAACCCTGTGGGCGGCGCCATTTTGATGAGTCACATGGCTTATTTTACCGGAAGTGACATCCTTTAGCGTCCTTAAGCAGCCAGGCCAGTTTTTGGTGGCCTTTCCATATAGCGTAGTACCGGCTAGTGGGTACTTTTCCCCAGTTTTTCCGGCCCCATAAAATCGTGGTTCTGGGGCCAGGGACAACGAGGCTGAGTATGCTAAACTAGAGAGGGAATCGCTAGCAAGGGTGGTACTACATGCATACATATCTAGTAATCAAAATCATTGTATCTACTAAGTAGGCCTACATTGGGGTTGTATTGTTTGCCTTTTTAGAAAACTTTATTTTATATTATTTGGGCAGTACATGATATACACAATTGTATTGTTTGCCTGTAGTTGGCCTTTTAATTAATAAAATATTTGAATATGAAGTTTTGTAGATAGGGATCTTTTGGAATGATCTAGTCTTTGTAATTGTCCGGCGACGTTTCTCAGACTGTCCAGACTGCTTTAATTCTCTAGCCTAAATCAGTAAATGTTCTAAAATGTTTGCTGGGGCCCTGTCAATACATTAGCCGACAGGAATGTTCTGGCCACTTGGCTCGAACCTGTATGGCTGAATTCCCCCATCCAATCTCTCCACATTGCTCAAAACTTCTTCCTCGGCTGACGAGTCCGAACTCAAATACTCCGCCATGTTTTCGTCGAATGAGCTGTTCGTGTGTTTACAAAGTGAACGCATAGATGACGTCACGACCTAGTTTTTCGGATCACGTGACTACTGAAAATGGCCAAAATGGCAGCTGCCTGACGGAATATACAGGTTTTGATCAAAAAGAGCTATAAAATCATTATTTACCGGGGAATATCGCTGATTTCTTCAGGGTATGGTTTAAACAGAATGTTTCACTAAATACTGAAGTTTTGATTAACTATCTAATGAATAGAGCCTTCCTTTAAGGAGACTGGTAGTTTGTTCCAGCTCTTATGTGTTCATGAAAGTTGGTAACATTGTTGAAAAATATTTACATACACAGGAAAAAAATGAATTTGCCAGTAAAATGTATTTGAATGTACATAGTAGAACATGTAGTAAAACACACCTTTTGATATTGTCATCTAGAAAACTTCCCAAAAACTCTCCAATGTGCAGACACTACGGTCATCGACCGTGTGGTCCCAGTCTGTACATTGTACGCTGGCTTTTACAGGGACCCTGCAAATATCTTCTTCTTAAACAATGCTAACGTGGATACAAGACCTGTGAGTTGACCTGATTGACCAGCTGATAATACATAAGTCTTCCAGTAAATGATGCAGAAGTCTGTGGTAATCAATTTCTCTCCTCTCTCTCTCTCCTC